TGTATGGACAGCAAACACGTCTATAGTCTGTCTGATTACTTTTGCCTGAGAGAGCGAAAAGTGGCAGCTACTGACGCGAATGTGGTTTTTTAGGTGACTATTCACTATAACGAATCAAGTACATACTGAGAATGGTCAGAAAATAACTGTCCCGCAACTATAAAGTCACCCATATTATGGTATATCTGCTAGCAGTCAAAAGGAGATAGCATGTACTTCGTGCTGTTAAGCAAACTTTTAAACATCTCCCACTAGTGTTATAGTCTGTCTTAGTTAATCCCTCAGAGAGTAAGTTTGCGTGTTTCAATGTACACGCCTGGATAGCCGTTCCAGTAGATTCTGAGTTAGGTTTTTTCTGGGCTTGGAGATGGTTAAAGCATAGTTGTTTCTTAATCATTGCTTCGTCCTCTACAGTTATCTTTTTGCGTCAACTTAAATCAACCGCAGGATGCCTGACAATCAGCAGCAGGTGTCTGAATGTATGTAAGTTCTGCGATCTCTCTAAAAAGGCAAATTTATCTCCTTATTTGAGGCAAAATTGTCTTCATCCCTATCTGTAAGATCGTCTGCTGCAGGTTGTATTTATACAGGGTCCGTTAGTAGTAGTCACAACCGTTTGCACCATCCAGCGTAGGTCTTTTCTTCGGAGACGACTCTATTGTAGATCATCTGTCCAGGTGGTATGACCTTCAGCCCAACGCATTCATTATTCCTTGTGGTACCTTTCCAACAGTCGTATTAATCAAAGTTCCCGAATAGTGAATAGTCACAGATCGACCGTCGATTTCGGCCATGTCCTTCACGACCCTCAGAAAGCTGAGGCAAATGCGGTGGCTTGCGCTGGATTATAGTGAAAGTAGACTCGCGCAGAATCTACCTCGCTTCCTCTCCACTCCCCCACCTGTACCGTGTGTCAAGACAAGAGACAAAAAAGCACAAAGTGTTATTATAAGAGGAATGTGTCTGATCGCACAGTTGAAAGCCCATACCTTGTTGACAGCTCACAAGCTAGTCCGGACCTTGACAAAAATTATAAGAGGCGCATTCTTTCTCAGGACTTCGTTAAGGCGACTCACAAGTCCTCTGAACTGCGCCTGTGCGGTAATTTCTTCCTATAGGTACCCCTATTACCTTAGCTTTGCGTTAGAGTACTATTTGGAATTATGAGACAAATTAATTCCAAGTCGGAATTCCGGGATAGGAATCAGATATCATGTCGTGCTCACTGGACAGTATCAGTCAAACCGAACTTAGGATTTTCAAACGAAGACGGCCCTGTGACGAAAACACCGGGAGAGGGAGCAGGATTACCAGCAACCTTCTCTCGCGGGGACGAAACACAACACTAACTGCCGTCATCCTACGCCGAAATCCACAGGGAGGACCAAGCAGCAAACAAAGAAAACTCGATCACGGCCCATGGCCAACGCTTACAGTCCCAACTTAAACTTGCTGATCGATAAAGTCAGTTTGCGCTTTAAAGCCTTGTTTCCGAGGTACGGATTTAAAACAAACGTACACAGCAGGATTCATTTGTACGAAAAACTTTCGGGACAGCTTTTTAACGGCCTGTCTTTGCTTGAAGTAGTTAACAAATGGAAAACACAGCAGTTTGAATTAACACAGGATCAGTATATGACAGCAAGGTCATTTTTAAACGCGGCAATAGTCAGTAATAATGTCGCCTTTAAACTTGAGATATAGGAAGGAAAAGTGGGAACGAGAATTAACAAAAATCCAGGTTGATTAGATGTAGGCATGCGATTACCACGGCAGTTGAAGATTAGGCCTATTATCTAACTGCGCGCATAGATAGGGTTTCTCCCGCCGTATATCGGCTGCTGTAGCCACGTAGCGCATGGTCGGATTTTCTCGTGCTCGAACACGAGCTTGGAAGGATGTTTTGAGGTCAAAAGAATGACAACCGTCTAGCAGATGTTTTGTAGTGGAGGACCGTGGTACTTTGTTTTCGTGTTTAAAAACCCAATGAGGTAAATGTTCAGCGGCCCTGTTCGCCAATTACCTTTGCGTACGCCCAATGTACTTGCTTGCATCCGAAAGTGCACGTGAACTCATAGACACACTTTGGGGTGGCGTGCAAAGGCAAGGCATCCTTTGTCCGGTTAACTGGAAGGCTTTTAGTGGGAGTGAGGAACACTATTTAAGCTGCGTTGTACGTTATCTGTATGGTGCAACGTAAGCCTCGTTTAATTGTATTTGACATATTGTCACCCCTAAAGAGTTAAGATATAAAAAAACATGCTTTTTTCGGAACTGACTGTTTCGTAGATTTCGGCTGCGTTGAAAAAATGGCCTTGTTCTTATATATTGATTCTCTGCAAATTCAAACTGTTGTGCTCCCCACTTTTTAAAATCTAATTCATGCAAAGACAGGAAGCAGTTGAAAAGCTGTCCCGAACTTTGTTTGTACAAATAAATCCTACTATGTACGCTTGCTTTAAAGTCTATGCTTTGACAAAGGACAGTCGGTCTAGTCCTCTGAAAAATCAGCGAAAAAATAAACTCATTCCCTCCTGCCGTTAAAAGCTGATTCGTTGCGTCAGCAATGACCATCTGGCCCTGCAGTGTTGGCATAGGATGATGTGGTGGCCTGTCTGTTCCCCGAGCCGTGAATTGCTTTGGCCAAATTTAGTCTCAGCACCGAATGTGGATTGGACAAACCGTTGCACTTATTGATGGATGGGGCTCGGTGAGCACAACTGGATATCTGACAAATTAATTTGACGGCCTGTCTATCTATCTGCTCTCTTTCCCCGCATGTATGCTGTATCAGTAAAATTTCGTTGTTACTCCTCCTCTACGTTTCTTTGGCAGATGCTCATGCACACACTGGTTCGACCCTTTATGAAGTCCGCATGGGAGGGTGCTCAGACCACGATGTACGTTGTACTGGCAAATGATCTCCAGTCCGGTGCCTACTACGCAGACTGCGCTCCAAAGAAACCAAATCAACTTGTCCTCGACGACAAGTTAGGTGAATCACTTTGGGCTTTTTCAGAGAAGGCTGTTGGACTCGCATAAAGACCACATGAACAGTTTGCCTCCTATCTTTGTCATTGTGGCAACAGCCTGCTGCCTTTACTGTTGTCCTTGTTCTGTCCTTGTTTTCATTTCTTTTCTACTAGCAAGGGGAACATCCGTTTGTACTTTTTGATGAACAGCAGAGGACTCGTGGCGCACTGTCGTGTTGGATTCATGTGCCCTCTTTGCTGGCTTAAACGGAAGAAAATAAAAGTACCGCAACATGAAGAATTTCTTTTAATGTGTGTTTAAGTGCCAGGAGGGGAAACAGGATTTTATGTCTTCTATTATTTGGGGTCAGAAGACCAAAGGGCGTTCACCGGGAAAGTTACATTTTGTATCTGAGGTTTCGGGTAGTTGTCTCGTCTACCTATTTACTCGAGAGTGAATACTCTGGCTCTTTGTTTTCTCTAAAAGCCACTCTTTTCTTCCGCGTGCGTAGTCTACCAACGCAGACCGAGTCACTATGTTTGTCATGCGTCTCGCCTTCGACGTCCGCATTGACGATGTCACTAACTCGGGCGCCGGTGTTTATTTCGTCCCCCGGTCCGTTTGTCATTTGTATTAAAGCGACCGCGGTTTCGCTGTGACCTGTAACATGGACATGCGCGCTGGCCGTAGAGGTGGATGGTGGCACCGATTGTTCCACGTCATGACTGTCACCTGCTAAGAATGTTTTTCGTACAGTATAGTAGGGAGGCAAAATTATGTGGCGGTTTACCGACAGGTTGGTCGACATCCAGGCTTGTTTGTTTGTACGGGATTCCCCGCCAGGACTTCGGTGGGCAACGCTCTTCGGTCCGCGTTTTTGGTGGAATTCGATTCCATCCAATGAATGCTCGTGGATAACCGCTTACTCTTAAAAGGTTCCGGAGGAGCTTCACTTCGTCCCGTTTGGTGGCTGGCGTACTGTGGTGGGTTTCTATCCGTCGGTATACCATGCGTATACAACTGTTTGTGTTGCAGCGGGTGGTTGTTATTGTAACTCCATATTTGTGGAGTGTTTGTCGGCTTACGGTAGACAGACGTCGTCATTTTTCCGTCCGATTGGCGGCAGACGAGAATATCTAGGAACGGAAGTCTGCCCACCACTTCTTCCATCGTGAACTGAAGTTCGGGAATATTGGAGTTCAGTCGGTCCTTGTAGTTGATGACAACGAAAGTATCGTCAAAATAGCGTGCCTAAAATTAGGGTTTAGGGGGTTTATCACTGCCGTAGACAAGTGCTTTTTGCCTCCCCACAAACAACCTTATTTCCGTTCGGCTCGATCCGTACTCTCGTCCATGTATACTGCCCCTTTCTCCCGTTTACCCCTGTCCGCTCACTTATGGCCGAGTGTTATTACGCTAATGGTTGGCATATTTTCTGCTAATTGGCTGCTTATCTTCATTATCAGCCCTCATACACCGTGTGCGTTTAAGCCCGACAGGTCTTGTGGGTTTGCGTTATTCCTCTGTTTTCCTCTGCCTACGTTTGTGTCTGCTATACCGTCACGCTCGGTCGGGGTTCGTCCACGGCCTCCTGTTCCGGTGCGTCGTTATCCCCCCTCCCCTCGGTTCCGCTAATTAAAATGCATATGTAGGGTTTGGCAAGCCAAGATAAGAACCAAAGTGGTTGGTAGAAGTAGCTGCGGTGGACCAAGATGTACGCCTTTTTCTAGCCTTGCTCATTCTCTCGGCTCTGGACTTCGGTATTCTGGACAGCGAAGACGTGTCCGATGGCTGTGTTATCTTTTGAAATCGATTACATTTGAGTCACCCCTTTTAGCTACTCTTTAGTGCACGTTTTTCCAACGCGGTTGGCTTCACAGGAGATGCATTCGAAAGGTTGGCCGACGTCGCTGTGACTGGGGTGGGTTAGGTCTCATAAGCAGACGTCTTATTGTAGCCTCTGCCCTGTTGATGATGCTGATTCCCAGTGAATGCAAGGCACAAGAACTTGCATCCGATGCATTTGCAATATACGTCAGGGGCAGACAAACTTGATTGTTTTGTTGTTGGCCCCTAGGACTGGGTTGAACTGTACACTACGTTCTATACCGTTGCAGGAATATCTGTTGGAAGTGAACATCCGTCAGACATCAGAGGGTTGGGCTAATCCGTAAATGGACACGTCGTCATATAAACCTATCCTACCTTTTCGCAGAGTAGGCGTTGCGCGGTGATTCCGCACACATCGACTGTCTCGAAACAAAGTATAAATTCCATTTTCAAGCCATGCCCCTTGAGTTTTCC